TCTCAAATGGAATATTCAAAACATTTAAAATTTTCATATATTAACAATTCCTTGACAACAAAAACACTGTGGTTAATTATGCACACCAATATACTAACATTAAAGATGATAAATACAGAATTAAAGCAGAAATAGTTTTTGTGTTTTATGAGGTAAAGGGAAAAATCATCTAGGAGTCTTCATTGAAATCATAGATAAATAACCATTTTAATATAAACTTATTAAATTATCAATGTATGTAGATATTTGTACTTGTAAATATCAACTTTTATGCAGAATGAGTTCTGATAAAAGTAGGTAAGTAATGACAATGGAAAAGATGTTCGCCCAAAACCTGAAAGAATTGTATCCACTATACCTTTTATCTAGAAAGCACGGATGTTTGAATATATTTGCCTATTTTTTTTAGCTAAGGCTGTGGGAAAGTATAGTTTGTCTTTATTTATAAAATATGGATGTTTTGCTTGTTAATTTTCTTGTTGGAACAGTATAGATTGACCCTGAGGTTTTGGTGCCTATCTACTTTCGGCCCCCCCTCAGTGTACATTGGTTATTGCCTGGCCCCCCTTATAAGTATTTTCTGGCTACGGCTCTGTTCTGGATTTCATTTATGGGGGGCAGCGGGAGGCGATTCTAGGATCAGAGGTTTAGGGGTGCTGAGGAACCAGGGAGCTCTGAGACTATTGTGATTTATTTATCTTTCTGTGTTTTGCTGTATGGTAACTTACCTGGCTTTTCTTGACCTCACACCTTGCTCCTCTCCAGGCTCGCACTGGTAATCTGTGATACCGGTAAGTCCTAATTTCAGCGTGCGAGGACCTGCCCTCCTTAAATCACTTACTCTCTGGTCAAAGCACCTACCTGTGACAGTAAATAACTCAAGGAGCTAAAAAAGTATTTATAGCCCTTCTTGTCATGCACATCCTTGTGATGGTTGGCATATGGTGTAATTTTGTATTTCTTCAAACTGTAAAATTCTATTTATAAAATATTTGTAACAAACTAAATAATAATAAAACCAAAATGCTTTCTTTAAACCAAACTACGATGTTCCTCTTATATTTGGCGAATTCATGTTGGGATATTTTGCAAGTGGGAATGGGCCAGTGTAGATGGAAAAAAGCCAGTGCCGAAAATCGTTCCCAGTCCAAGCCTGCTCCTTTCCTTCCCGTTGTAAACCTCTCAATCTTTGGACTTACAATCGTAAAATGGATTGTTTTTAACAAGGTAAATATATACAGTTGTGCTTGAAAATTTAGACACACTCCACACCATAAAGAAAAGGATTCACAACAGTAATTCTAAAAAGAAGAACCTAAAAAAGAAATGTAGAAATAAAAACATACAAAATTGTGATTTGATAAATTGAAATATTGATTTGAATTGATTTTAAAAATAACAATGATTTAGAAAAAACAGTCCAAGGCGGAGAGAGCACCTTGTTCCAATTGTGGAAAAAGCTGCCTAAATAACCAGGTTTCCTCTCTTATAGTTTTCAAGTATCTCTTAAAAATATTTATTTTCGGTGTTTAAATGGGTTGCTTTAACCGAACGCACATATTTTTCCACTGAGGGTAAAATTAGCCGATATGGCAAAAAAAAAAAAAAGGACATTCAAAAATTTCCCAGGATTTTAAAAAGCAAAAACTCATGTTCAGTTTTTCACCTTAATGCATCCAGAAAATCCCTTTCAACTTCAACGTTTAAATTCCATCATTATCACAAAACTTTTCAACAGTGAAACAAAAAGAAAAATACATATTATAATTATTTATTTATAATAGATTATAACTTTAAAATACATTTTGCTTACAAGTGCAGATTACCATGTTACATTCACTGGAGTTTTACTGGAAACAGAATGAAACAGACACGTGTAACAAATGAAACTAGTGACAAATGTGACATTCGAAAAAAAAACGTTGATTTCACCCATTAACCTCAACCCAGTAATTTATCCATTAACCACTCATCTTAATGTACACAAATAGGCAAGTTTAGTAATAATAAAGATTACCGTCTATTGCAGGTTTCAGTCTTTGTTAACAGGAATTTCAGCTGCCTTTCCTGAAGTGCGTTCCAGTCGCTATGTTTAACTTTAGATGCAGCCTGATTCTGTTCAGCCGGAAAAAAACGGCATATTCCAGAATATATTAAAGAATAACTACCTAAAACATTTTATTCTCCAACTATGCTGAACCCAAACTTACCAGACATGACCACCAAGGTGAAAAAACAAACAAAAAAATGGCTAAAATTGATTAACTTAAAATTTTAGATCGCTCTAGTTTGTGAAAAAAATAAAAGTAATGACAATTGTAGACAAAGGATGCACATCTGCATCTTTTCAGAACAATTTAGACAAATGGATTGACTGAAAATTGTTGCTTCACACAATTTTTGATATACCTGGGCCATTTAGTATAAAAAAAAAATCATTAGTGGTCTGTCCTGTCTACACAAAATGAAAAAAGGACAGCCAATATATTACTATAGTAAATACCCTGTTGATTTGTCCCAAAAAAAAAAATAGCAAATAGATTTTTTATATTAAAATATATTAATTAAAATATATTACTTTGATTAACAAGTTTGAGATTATAAACAACTTCTTATTCTTATTTTTT